CACCTTCAAGTCGTCCACCGCTTTCTTGCTTTCCACCTCCTGTAGTGCACCGGACGTGGCGGTGTGGACATGAATACTCTTCCATGGACAGAACGCATCCTCTTCCTTCCTCCCTTTCTTCCTCCTCCCTCCCGCCATCCCCCCCGTGCGCCCGCCTACCCACATGGTACTGCCGTTCGATGCGCTTCACCAAGCTCTCTATCTGGAAGTCCACCTTCACAAGGTCATCACTGCAGATTGGGTAATAAGAAATCGTTTTAGAAAAAGGAAGACGAGAAAAACCAGAAGCAAAAGGAAGGCGGGAGGGAGGGAGGGAAGAAGGGAGGGGGAACCGCCCTTGGGACGGCCCATAAACCCTTCCATGACCCTCCCCTCCTTGTGTCTCCCTCCGCTTTTACCCCCCACATCCACCCCTCTCCCCCCAAAATAACGCCACTGCTGTCGTCCATGCCGTGCCTTACGCACCTCAAGGACATCAAGGAGTCCAATGTCCCGACCACTAAATTGGGCACGTCGACCCTATGTGGGTTGGCGGGGGCCTCCGCCCGGAAGGCCCCCGTGGCCCGGGCAAATTTGTTCAGACTTACTTCCACCGCGTCGCCACGGTTGGGCACGGTGACGAGCCAGTATTCCGGGGAAGCCATGGCTGGGAAATGTGGGAAAGAGGGGAGGAGGAGAGGGGTTGACATCAATGCGTGAAACGAAGAGGGCAACGCGAGGCCAGAAAGGAGGATGGTTGACCCAAATTAAGGAGCAAAGGGCCTCCTCCAGCTTGTCATCACAGCCTATTATCCTGCAAGGATTTAAAATGCTGTAGTTGTGCCCCCATTCGACGTTTTGCAGGGGAAAGACGAGGGAAGGGGAAAAAACAGACACCGCCTCGATCGCAGCCGGACCTCAACAACACGACACAGATCATGCACCGAATAATTCCTTCCCCGCAGACAGCATCCGTGTCCGTTCTTGCAATAGAAACATACGCCTCTGCTCAACGTTGCCACACCCCGGCCGTAAGGCCTGCGTGCCGGTGCGGGTGAAAAGTGGCTTCAGGGAAGAATCTATCTCACCAAGAGGGCAAGGAGAAGCCGTCTTTAACGTTTAGGGGTGACAAAAAATACACGTGTCCTCCCACTCTTTTCAACCACCGCCGCTCGCACAAGCATCTTGACTAGCTCGTCACGGGAACCAGCCATCCCCCTATTTTTCTTCTCCCCCTACACGGTACAAGCTGCCTCATTTAATTTCTCCGCTTGGGGAAGGCGAGAGCGTCGCTGTGATCTCGCTCGCCCTCCCACCCGCTGAGCACTTCATGCCACATGTATGTAGACACACATTGAAACCCACGCCCTGTAACCCCCCGATCCTTTTAATGTCAACAGTGCGCGTTGTTATCATGTATCTTGCTATCCCTTTTAGGGCCGAAGTTGTCCGTGTTCAGGCCTCTTCCTTCTAAGCCCTACGCGGCACCGCCTCCCCCCCTCTCAACAGCAACACCTGTAGTATCCATGGAGGCTATCACGCCGCCAAAGCCCGGCACGGCCTGGCGAAGAAGAAGAGGAAGGAGAATAGGGCGTTTGTATGGCCATGTATCTCTGTCGGCTGTGATTCCCTTTTTGCTGCTGGTCCTGGGGTTCTTTGCCCTCCTTCTCCCCTCCCTGTGCCACGGCGCAGCGGCAGGACCATTTGGCGGTCAAAAAACAAAAAAACAGAAACCTGTCGTTTCTCTTACGTCAGAGGAATTGCTGGATCATTTGGAGGAGTGGAATACGGACCTGGCCATATTTTTTTACGCCCCGTGGTGTCCATATTGCAAGTAAGAAAGGAAGGGGGGGGATGAGTGGCACTGTTGCATGCAGCAGAGCCGCAGGTTGCATAGACCGTTTTTGGGAATAAAGCATGGGACAAAAAAGAAACCCCTTACTTATTTCCTATACGTACCTCCCTTTTCCTGCTTCCTTTCTCCTTCCCTCTTCCTCGTTCTGATCAGGCTGGTAGGGCCCTATTGGGACATGCTGGGAGAGTGGCACCTGGCGCAAACCACTCCCTCCCTCCTCATCACCCGCTTCGACTGCGAGCAGGACGCGTTGGCCATGGATATATGCATGTACATGGGGGTCACGCAGTACCCGACCATCCAATATTTGGGCTACGGGTCTTACTACCAGAACCTTCTGTCGTGGTTGTTTCGGCACCCGGGGAGCAACGTGGACAGGACGGTGTTTTTCGAAGGGGTGCCAGACCCGGAGATATTGAAGGACTGGACGCTCATGATGAAGGGGATCAGCGGCTGGCACCGGTGGAGGGAGGGGTGGAGGTGGGGAGGGAGAAAGGGGAAGAGGGAGGTGAG